AAAGAGAAAGTGATAAATGAAAATACATTTATTAATTGATGAATGAAACATGTAGCAGGTTAAAACGTTCATAAGCGTGACTATGGCGCGGATGCAGACGGGCACTACCTCCAACCTTTCTACCGGGGGGGGGGGGGGGGGGGAGGGCTGTTACATCTGGGGACGAACAACCACAAGAAGTGATATTTTGAAAATAAATCTTATTACTAATCTCAATTGTTCTTTATATGTGAATTATAAATATATCATAATGTTATAATGTTAATTTTTATTGTTTATCAAAAAGGGAATGCTTCAATTTTTTTTTTTCAAATTGACTTATCCATTAATATAAATATTTTTTTTTAAAAATGCATATATATATATATATAGATTTTCTTTTCTGTTTTTTAATTTTATTTTTCTATTATATCTATTACAGCTCAATACATGAAAACGGGATAAGAATGGACAAACCTGATAAAAAATTTGAAAAAAAATCGAGGAATAGCGATTATTTATAAAATTTCTGAAACATTTTATTATTACCAATACATATCAAGCGCGGATACAGGCATTTTCCGGAGGGGGAAGGAGGATACACAGCCGCGCACTCAAAAAAAAAAAAAAGAAGGCTCAGACATTATTGTCAAGCAAGGATAAAAAACCATAAACTTATCCATACCTTATATAGCTATTTCGTTTTGGAGGGGGAGGGAGTGTTAAATCGCTTTGCCTTTATAGATATACAGAAGATGTATAAATGTATGTGACTTTCTATGCCATTGTAACAGGGGTCCGTGTTTTCTAGAGGGATTGGGTTTACTATTAATATCATTTCAACAACTCTAAAAATCCCAAGGGGAACTGATCCCATGACCACGCCCCCCCTCCCCAATTACGACATCTTAACTAAAGATATTCCTAAGATGCTTTTGTTTTACATCCAAAGACGTATCTTAAGATAGTCCTAAGATATGTACAAAGTATGCTGCTGGTTCTGAGTTGGTTGGGGAAAAGCCGCATATGATTTGGTGATAGAAAACGAATTCGTGTCGGACGTCTGAGAAAAATTGATTGAAATTCTAGCTTGAAGTTAATTTTCAATCCAAATTTGCTTTTCTCATACGCTTGATGCAGAAGACAAATAATAATTTCAATTTCCGAATAGTTTGAATTTAATTCAGATTAGAAACTTCTATCCAATCTATTCTTTTAAAGAAATCATCAATATCTTTTAGGGCACGACAATTTTCATTCTATTGGGGGGGGGGGGTAATTAAGATGGGGACGCTGACAGATTTTGGAAATAAAGAATCTGTTCTTGAAAATACATGTATAAAAAATCTCTCCTGCAGTGACCGAAATCAGTGGTATTAAGCCGATATCCGTACCAGTAGGTACGCATACATGTATCCTCAGATGTCGAAAAGCTCCACAGCTTCGAGAGTTTACATCTATAGATATACTTATATATCCCTTCAATCTGTTGGTGAATTAAAATGATTTGAAGATATATACATGTACATATAGTCTTTAAACATAGCTTTATGCAGATTAATCCAGAAATGCAGAATAGATATTTAACGCGTAAATGGAAACCCTGATGAAAAAAAAAAAGAAGATATATATGTACCATGTCATTTTGTGATCGAGTTACTGGATATGCGTTACATGAAGTATAATCTCTCTCTCTCTTTCTCCAGAAAATAGAAATAATTGTTATCCGATTTGATGAGGAAACATTTTTTTCTATAAAGCAGAGAGAAATTTGCAACATATACCTTTATACGATACATTAAATCAAAGGAAATGATTATAGCGCTCAAAATCTGAGTAATCACCAAAGAAAACCCAAAATTTCCAGAAAAAGAATATGGGTCACAATGTAATTAAATATTGGGACTTTATCAAAGATTTAAGCATACACTTCGATATTGTGGTAGGCGAAATAATGTACGGTCGAATCTCCAAATATGTTACGGCTCCTCGAATATATCTGTTTTTGCATCTCTTCGTAGCATACAAAAATGTATATAATTATTATTTTTGCCTCATTTCTAAACTGTTTTTACAATGTATGGATTATTTCCGTACTGTATAAGGTGGAGACCGGTCCTTAGGATAAGACCGTATAAACCGAAGTCCCTTGTCGCAGTAGATGCTGGCACGAAAAAGATCTCTCTCTGCTCAAAAGCCACAAGTGTCGAGTACAGGTCTAAATTTGCAGCCCCCCACCAGCAAGTGTTGGCGTCTCAATATGATTGAAACATTCTCGAAGGGACGTTAAACAACTAAGCAAACAAACGAGCAAACATTTTTATACATTGTATTTACCGGTACATGTAAAAGTATATGTATTCTTTCTCTACATAAGATTTGGATTTGGATTCATCCGTCTTTTGCAGATACACCTGTATGCATGGTATTATTTAAACTGAGACCCCCCCCCCCCAACAAACACTCACTTTCCACACTTTTCTGTGGTAGCGTTGAACCGCTTGCACCGTATTGTACAGAATATATTTCGTGCAGAAAAGAAAATGAGAGTATTACACCACCACCCTCCTTTCTCAGTTTTAAGAATTTAAGTTTTGTAAAATAGTCAACAGCCTATTTCCCTTTATTGCTTGTAAACATTTTGCTTTTTTAACATTTAAAAAAAAATCTTGAATGTTTTCCTGTGGCTCAACCCCTCTCCACCTTAAAAAAACATTGTTACAGACTTGAAACTACAAACTTTACTTTTCACGATTGAAAAGGTTCATTGTCGACGGATTTTTCCGTATTTCACGATCATGACAAAGAGCACACGGCGGGTATGACCGGTCGGCAGGGGATGCTCGCTCCTCCATGGCATCTGATCCCACCTCTGACATTTTAGAGGTCCGTGTTTGCTCTGCTCCCGATTTGTATTGTTTAATGGACATTTGAGCTTGAATACCGTTCGTTATCTACATATATTTCATTCATTGAAAGGGCAGCTCCCCCTTTTTTGTTGCAGTATAGTCAATTCAGGGTAATGTATTAATAAAATTTGGTACTGAAAGATGGAACACCTACCCTCCCCCCTTACACCTCCCACGAAATAGGATTTTCGAGTATGTTGAATTTTTTTTCTCTTGCTGCCCCCCCCCCCTTTTTTTTTCAAAAACGATGCTACGTTCCTGTGAAATATTTGACAGATACATTTATGCGCAAATTGTTAAAATGCAAAGAATTAGAAAAAATAAAACTAGCAGGGATCGATATCATTTACACATGGTTTTTATGTCCAAAACATCAAGGTACGCTTATCACCTTCATACGAGATATATAATTTATTTGTAGGTTTTATTCAACTCTGCTTGTCGCTAGCTAATTGTTAAGACTCAATATATCTACAATTCACTTTGATTCATTTAATGAAATATGACAAAAATAACAAAATCAAGCGGTGTAAACTCATGAACCTGTCAAGCTCGACGTCATCTTGGGATATGCGAACCTACTGTACAGATATCGGCTTAATACCAGTGAATATTTAAAAAAAAAAAAAATAATCCGACAATGACTGGTGCGCCTCTCGCATGAAATGCATCTTTGCTGACCAAAAACTTTTACACATGTAGTTGTTGGAAAGCTTTTTTTTTACAAATATTTTTGATATAAACAACAAATTTAAGCATTTGCTGTTAATGAATATATAATATGATTGTGTAATAAAATATCTAAAGAAAACCTGGATAGACATTTAAATTTTTTAAGTAAAAAATTTATTTATGAAAATAAAACACATTATTTGTGAATATTTTTTAAGCCTATGGATAAAATCTTCATAAAACTAGTCAGAACTATGGAGAACATGTCAGTCAAACATATTTTAAAAAAGAAATGGAAATGAAATTGCAAAATTTTAGGGAAACTATTTTTTTCAATATTTAGACTAATCCCGATCAAAATTAACACAAAATAAATAAGATGAAATTATTGCCTTCTTTAAGTATTTACCACTAAGAAATTTATTTATCTATCAAGTTCAATTACTTTCTAACGCGTATTACACCTAAGCAAACTTGTATTCCTTGTGAAAATATTATCTATTATCAATTATTATAAAATTCTGGTTTGGATCAGTTTAATTTCGATCGGGATCGGCTAAAATTTGTAAAAAAAATAATTTCTCTAAAATTTCGCAATTTCGTTTCAATTTCTTTTTCAAATATGATTGTCTAACATATCCTTTGTAGCTGTGACTTTTTTTTGAATATATTATCCATATGTTTTGAAAATATTCACAAATAATGTACTTTTTCGAAAAAAAAAAATTTAGTAAAAAAATTAAAATGTCTATCTGGCCTTTCTTCACATATTTTATGAGATATTTATATTATGCATTCATTAACATCAAATTTTTAACTATAAAGCATCTTATTTGCAAATAAAACATTTTTTTCATTTTCTATGAAAAATTGGAGAAAATTCTTATAAAATAATTAAGAGCTAGGCCTTTCAGTGCTGAAACCATGACTTAAGGAAGCTCTAAACACTGCACACTAAAGAGTTCTATTCGTAGGGTATTTTTATTGAGTGATTTGCCCTTAGAAGAAAAATAGTATAAATGGGAATCTACAGTTAATGACACAATTTCTTATGAATTAAAGTATTCTTAATTTTATGTTGGACCAAGATTAAGTAATTGAATACATTATTTCCATTAATTTTCCTGATGCAAGTAAACAACAGTGATTTCTGTTCACAAATAGTTCATTGTCTTTGAACATTTTTTCTGCAGAAATAAGGCAGGTACCCTATGTTGAAAATGAACTTGATACACTGAATATGTGCACCTTTATATGATATATTTTTCTCAAAGCCCAAAAAGCATTTTTCATTAGTGTTTAGAGCTTCCTTAACATGGATGTCTTAAGACCAATGGAATAAAATTTTGGTGTGGCATTCCTCCTTACAAAAGTAATTATGGGTCCAGTTCCTAATGAACAGAAAGCCTCATTTGCGGTTTGTATAAACAAGAGCATAAATTATCGATATAAAATTTTATTCAGAAGATAAATCACAAATAAATACCTCACCTTTAATATCATCAATGTTCATTTTTGCATACTTAAACATACATCAATAAAAAGAATTGTTATTACTTTAAAAATATATAACTATATAAATCAATACTAAAAAAGTCTAACATTTCCAATGTTTTACTGAGCGTTCATAAAAAAAATGATGTTTGACTGCAGAGTGAGATATTGGACATTGGACCGCTTATGTCACAATGTTGGCAGGATCAGCTAAATCTTATTTTAATCTGTTGGTGAGTGACAGTAACAGAATTGACCAAGTTTAACGCAGTGCAGGTAAAGGAAATTAACATCATAGAAGCCAGCACGAGTACAGTCATAACTGCGGTAATGTGTAGTAGACCTCTCGGAGCAAATAGAGAACAAGTATCAGCTGTCAACATGTAGTAGACCTGAAACAAAGTGAGAAAAATTATTACATCACTTATGTCAGCTAAAGGTGCTGTGAGCGATCTCACAAAATAATAAGGTTATAACCCTGCTGCAATTCTTTTATTTAGAATGTGTAAATGTGACCTTGAACTTACCAAAATGACTTTGGTTAAAAAACAAGAGGCCCACGGGCCTTATAGGTCACCTGAGTATCATGCAACAACTTCGCCACAATGGATTCATGTTTTAAACCAGAGGCCATGAAATTCACAATTTCGAAAGAGGCACACTTGCTCATCATAATTTTACATTGAGTAAGCTTACTTAAAACCCAGAAAGAGAGCAGAGGATTATCAATGAATTAATGCATTTTCACAATGTAATCATTAGAGCCCTGCCCTAACACCAGAACCATGATGCAGGGGCCATAAAATTCACAATTTTGGAAGAGGCATCCTTACATATCATAACAATACTCTTAGTTCATCAGCTTAATACCCAGGAGAAAAGAAGAAGATTTTCAAAGAATTATTGCATTTTTACTATGTAATCATTAGAGCCCCACCCTAACACCAGAACCCCTGACCCAGGGGCCATGAAATTCATAATTTTGGAAGAGGCACCTTTACTCATCATAACTATGCATCAGTTTGTTTGTTAAATACCCAGGATCAAAGAAAAAGATTTTTAAAGAAATAATGCATTATCACTATATATTCAACAGAGCCCCACCCTAACCCCAGAACCCCTGACCTAGGGGCCATGAATTTCACAATATTGGAACAGGCACCCTTACATATCATAACTATACTCTTAGTTCATCGGCTTATTACCCAGGAGAAAAGGAGAAGATTGTCAAAGAATTATTGCATTTTTACTATGTAATCATTAGAGCCCCGCCCTAAAACCAGAACCCCTGACCAGGGGGCCATGAAATTCACAACATAGGAATAGGCACCCTTATTCATCATAACTATGCCTTCAGTTTGTTTGCCCTGGATCAGAGAAGATTTTTAAAAGAAATAATGCATTTTCACTATACATGTATATTCAACAGAACGCTGCCCTAACACCAGAACCCCTGACCCTGGGGCCATGAAATTCACAATTTTGGAAGAAGCACCTTTCATCATCATAACTATGTATTTATTTTGTTTTCATAATATCCAAGAGCACAGAAGAAGCTTTTTAAAGAAATAATGCATTATCACTATATATTCAACAGAGCCCCACCCTAACACCAGAACCCCTGACCCTTGGGCCATGAAATTCACAATTTTGGAAGAGGCACTCTTTCTCATCATAACTATGTACTTAGTTCATCGGCTTAGTACCCAGGAGCAGAGGAGAAGATATTTGAAAAATTAATGCATTTTCACTATATAATCATTAGATACCTGCCCTAACACCAGAACCCCTGACCCAGGGGCCATGAAATTCACAATTTTAGAAGAGACACCTTTCCTCATCATAACTATGCATATTGTTTGTTTCCTAAATACCGAAGAGCAGAGGAGAAGATTTTTTAAGAATAATGCTTTTCACTATATATTCAACAGAGCCCCACCCTAGCACCAGAATCCCTGACCCTGGGGCCATAAATTTCACAATTTAGGTAGAGGGCTCAATGCTTATTACATTCATGCCAACAGTTTGCCTGCTTGATGCCCAGGAGTAAAGAAGAAGATTTTTAAAGATTGCATTAATTCTGATGGTTTTAGCCCCACCCCTCAGGCCTCAGGGGGGTAGGGGTCATGAATTTCACAATTTTTACTCCCCTTCACATATAGATGCTATGTGCCAACTTTGGTTGAAATTGGTTCAGTGGTTCCAGAGAAGAAGCTGAAAATGTTCAAATGTTAACGCACGACGGACGACGCACGACGACGGACGAAAACAGATAGCAATAGGTCACCTGAGTAAACTCAGGTGACCTAATGACAGATCTTTGGACATGAGTAATCTAAGAGTGAAATATGGACATCCAATTTTCCTCCATTAATACAAAATAATAGACATACATTTTTTTTCTGCCAGAGACCTTGAACTTGTCACAGTGACCCTCAGGTCAAAAAAAAATTTTGTAGCAAATTAAAGCTCAGTAACAAAGTTACTGACTGGACAAGAATGTTATCTCTTATCTGCCAGTGACCTTGAACTTGCCAGAATGACCTTGGTCAAAGTCAAGACAAACTTCCAGGTCATAAACAATCTTTGTAGCAAGTAAGAGTTTCCAATGATTCTCCATTACAAAGTTACAGCCTACACAAGTGTTTTATACCTTTTTAAGCCAGTGACCTTGAACTTGCCAGAATTGCCATGGGCCAAGGTCATGACACACTCTCAGGTCTTCAATAATCTTTGTACCAAGAATGAGCCTCAATGATTCTCCATTGCAAACTGATATCCTGGACAAGAAGTTTATATCGTTTCTGTCAGTGACCTTGAATTTTGACAGACTGTTTGATCGGATCCTGCCAGTCAAGTCGGGTTGATCAGGACATTTGAGCAATATAAGCCTTAAAGATTCAACAAACTTTCATAAAATAATTATCTTTAATATTAATAAATTAGTTTATAACTATATTAAACGTAACTATTTACATCATATTGAAACATTGTATTGAACAAAAGTAGTTTTGACCTCGACTTGTTAATAACAGCTGTGGCTAAAAATAGTGATTGGGTCATGTGGGGATTTTTTCTTTATACAGCAATGACTGTTTACAATCTAACATATAAGAAAGGATAAGATAGGCTAAGATCCCTTTTTGGCCCCTGGTTTGGGGTGTCTTTTAGAATGTTGCAACAGTTTTTCAGTTAAAAACCTGATGTCACCCCTGCCATAAATTGAGTATTGTTTCTAAGTTATGGGATACACAGAGGCCACAGGAAGGTCAGGAAATATGTCAGTTTCCGAATTTTCTCATTTTATGCAAATTTTCATTGGTTTTACAGCACATTTTGGTTCAGAAAACATAGAGCACAAGCTTGCCTATCTACCAAATTTATATATTTCATACACTAGTATCAGATGCATCTTATGTATAAAAATCTCAGATAGGCAGCCTTGTGCTCTATATTTCCCAAAGTGAAAAGTATCTCAAATTTGACGAAATGCGACCAGAATTGAGGAAATTCTGGAAAATAACCTACTTCTACACCCTCTTGTGGCCTCCGTGTAAGCTTTGAATCAAAATTAGTGCTGGTTTTAAAACAAGCATTATTTTTAATTCTTACCTACAAACTATCACAATTTTAACTGTGTTCTGATTTTTACATCAAATAAGGGGCCATATTCGGCCGTTACCATACCTTGTCCTTTCTTTGAAAGTTTTTAGATTATTTATTTGAAGGACTGAAATGGGGGTTCAACAGTTATTTTATCAATACGACCAATTGGTCTTTTACACGACTGGACCATTCATTTACTAGACTGGGTCAAACATGCCTTAGTGTCAAACCCTGTTGAACTAGCCGGAATGACCTTGGGTCAAGATCTTGACACACCAACAGGTCATAAACATTCTTTGTACCAAGATTGAGCTTCCAATGACCAACAAGTTGGCACCGATAGACTGACAAGGTGATTCTTATATATTCCCCCAACCTTTATTGTGGGGGTAGAAGACCAGCATGATGAATATAAGACAGAACATTCAGGATCTAAATGAAAAATGGGGACTCCTGATACATGTATCAGAGTGGAAGGAGATGCTCAATACAAAAATGCCACCTTCAGTGCCATTGGGAAAACCCAATTCTAAGCTGCTACCCAAGTGACATATACTGTGTTCTTAGAGGAAGAATACTGTAGCAGTGTTCTATGGAAATAAATTTTGTAAGAAAGGTGAAAGCTGAGAAATAAAGGAAAGAAGTTACCTGCCCAGCCATGAGGACTGCACTGTCACCATTCCTCCAAAGACAATGATTGTGGATGAGAAGAGATGGGCTGCAGAAAGTAAAAGTGAGCTGCAAAGTGATGACCATCCACTAGTCATCTTCTATTTCACCAGTGTTGGTTAAGGTGCCACTCTATACGGATTATCTGAAAAACAAGGAAATTTCATTGAAAACCTAAAAGACTTGCTGCAATTCTTTGATTCTCAAAGAAAACAGACAGCTATGGCTCAATTAGCAGCCACACATTTCTGAGAAGAATAAAAGAATCCACACAAAGAAAATTTGCCTTTGACCTAAAGTTTCAATGCAAAACAGAGTAAAAAAAAATATCAGTACTATTAGCACTATTCCATGAGATTTACCTTTGATTAAGTGGGCCATGTCTTCTACCATCAATTCAATCAAAGCTGCTACTAGAAACAGTGTGGAAAGTCCTGTCAACTTATCGGTAATTCCTTTTCCTGTCGATGACTGAAAAGCAATGAGTGGAAATTTCAGTGTTGCCTAGTGATTATGAATTAAACATGACAGAAGAAAATGTTTGTTAGAAGATTATTGACTTGACTTTAAAGTCCAAATAATCTTGCTAGCTAAAATTAAAAGAGTGTTCCAAGGAACACATGTGTCGCCTGATGAACAGCATCATTATTTAAGATTAAAAGAAAATCTAAGGGTGGTCAAATATTATTTGATACAAGCATTATGAGGGCTGTTAAGAGATTATTAGTACCGTAAATCTGGAAATTTTTGCTGTAGATAAATTTTTTAGCAAATTTGCGCATGCATTGCATTTGCAAAAATATTTTTCTTAAAAATAAATCAACAACAAAAAATGTTTTTATCTAAAGATTACTTAAAGATTACATCGTTATATATATTTTATGTACATGTGTGATTTATTGATGTTATGAAAACTTTAAACACTTTGGATGATTTATCTTTTTTAATATTTTTATCTGATTATTGAACGTTGGCGTAGTTTAATACTGTATGTTTATTCGTAATTTATTGTATATGCATGCGTAACTTACGAACATTTAAGAAAATTTTAAGAGCTTTTTTATATTTTAGTTCAAATGACGATTCGCAAAAATTTTAAACGTAAAAATTAATCAACAGACTTTTGACCCAGATTCGCAAAAATAAATCAACATAAAAATTTCCAGATTTACGGTACATAGTGTTTATTTTTCTTTCACAGTAATGCCTTTTGGTGAAAAATGGCATATATGTTTGACAAACACTAAGAATTAATAAAAGCAACAAATATTTTACAAATATTTTATTTCTTCTTTTCAATGGTATATTAATGGGTAAATGGAAGGGGTACCCGGTGCCGTCACGAAATCATAAATTGAAATATGTTATACCTATGTTCAAACTCCCAGTGGACCCATATACAGCAAGAGCGAAAATAATTCAAATTATATATCGGTATTTATTTTTTCAATTTCATTTCAATTCATTTTGTGCAAGCTTCTTAGAATTTCAATCAGAAATACGGAGATCATAAAAAAATCTAAGCTTGGTATAGATATCTGATTACATCAATAAAATAGATTTTGACGTCAACGTGACACAGCAAGCATACCTAGAATTTTACGTAGCTCTGTGGAGAACTCTTTTCCAGACTAAAAGATCTTCTAAAACAATAACAACTAGTGCTAACTGTAATGGGAACTGTTTCAGATGTTCCCCAAACACTTCTCCCCATTCTCTTAAGGGCCCCATTCATTAAAGGCTTCATTTCATTATGCAATTCTTTTGTTTAATAAATCTACACTTTATTTTCAGTAGTATTTATTCGAAAAACAACACTGATATAGTTCTTCGAGTATTAGCCAATTGGATTTCAGCGCATGCTAGGCCTGAGTATCGCAAACTACCGAACGATAGGATACATATCATGATACGGTCATGTGATATACAACATGTACCATGATACAGCTGTCACCAATTGAATTAAGCTTTATCTTTACATATAATTCTTTGCTAACTCCACAGTTATAGAAAATATACAAAGAATATCTTGATAACCCTTATCAAAGTTAATAAAAGGTGGATTTATAGTCTTGATATTGTATTTTTTCTTTGCTACCTTTTTTCAGCCATTTTAAAACATTAAAATTTGTTAGGTTGAATGTAGAAGTTACAAACAAAACAATGAAAATTATCTTCTACTGTATCACAATACATACATGGCAATACGCGTATCGTCAGCCCTTGCGATCAATACGATCGATGTATTGCTGTATCATTACACCTCTAGCGCATGCATATGCCCATATTTTCTAAATATTTCATATTCCTTCCTCGTGAAGAGACTCACAATAAATAGCTATGTAAGAAATCTAAAGATTTTCATTGAAAACTATGAGAGATACAGCCATATAAGTAATAGCAAATCAGAATCCACGTTCTTGCATTCAATTTTCATAGTAGCACAATGTAGGAACCCATCACACCTATCTATATTCTAAATTCCATCCAGTTTTGTTAAAAACTAAGAAAGTTACTACTGTAACAGCCATTTAAAGTTTAAGCCAATCAAATTGCAGCACACTTGCATGAGCGTGTTTTCACAATATCTCATATATTATATCAAAATGTAGAGCCTTGTTGTGTATGACTATGTTTTAAATTTCAAAGCATTTCATCAAAAAACACAAAGGTTATTGAGATTTTTCGTGTCAGTCAAACAAAGCAAAGCACACATGCATGCACATGCTTTCTTGCTAATTCAACCACCTCTTCTTGTCTACACAATTAATATAAGTCTATACAATGAAATTCAAAGCATATCATAAAAAAACAGGAAGGTTAATGGTGTTTCAATTGCTTCAGTCATTTCACTCCTTGCACGCGCACGCATGTGCATGCAAGTGTGGGTAAAATGACCTTCCTTCTGCACATCTACACAACATGCCTGTTAACCCTAAAAAGGTTTCATCTCAATCAGTTGAGTAGTTTCTGTGATGACAGAGAATGAAGCATTAAAGCTTCCAGACTGTCTCAACATGGTAAAGATCTGTGGCTGGCATGAGATGGAAATGAAGAAGCAATGCTGCTTTAGGTCAATAGACATATGCAAGTTTATAATTCCAATGGACATGTCTAATTATCCTATCAATTAGAAATTTTGCATAGCTGTTTTATTTGTTCTTGTTAAAATGTTGACAACTTTTCATGAATTTATGTCTTTCTTTTATGGAGTAAAAGTAAATGTCTCATTAATTTCAAAATGGCCCTTACAGAGCAAAGAAAAAAAATCCACAAATAGTAAGACCAATACAGAATAGCATTTATCATATAAAATCTGACAATAGATATATGATTCCCCACCCTTCAAAGCTAAAGTGAATTATAAAATTGAAATTAACAAGAAGTCTGTGAGCCAATGTTCACTAGTAATACCCCTGCTTTGATGTGAATATACATTCTGATGTGAATATACACAAGTTCAGTTATGGACAGACACAAGGGTGAACAAGAAGTTGACATCGGATTTGTTCAAAAATGAATCCCACCATATGACATGCCTACACAAAGAATGTGCTAAAATTTCAAGCATCTGCAATCAGTAGTTGCTGAGAAAATTGGGACCAAAACTTGTTATGTATGGTACGGACAGACACACGGATAAACAGGAAGTTGACATCGGATTCATACAAAAATGAATCCCAACATATGACATGCCTAAACAAAGAGTGTGCTAAAATTTCAAGCATCTGCAATCAGTAGTTGCTGAGAAAACTGCGACCAAAATTTGTTATGTATGGTACGGACAGATGCACTGATAAACAGGAAGTTGACATCGGATTCGTACAAATATAAATCCTACCATATGGCATGCCTAAACAAAGAATGTGCTAAAATTTCAAACATCTGCAATTAGTAGTTGCTGAGAAAACTGCAACCAAAATTTGTTATGTATGGTACAGACAGAAGCACGGATAAACAGGAAGTTGAAATCAGATTCGTACAAAATGAATCCCACCATATGGCATACCTCAACAAAGAGTGTGCTAAAATTTCAAGCATCTGCGATGAGTAGTTGCTGAGAAAACTGTGACGAAATATTTGTTACGGACAGAGAGACAGCTAGACAGACAGACAGACACACAAAGGTAAAACAGTATACCCCCCTCTCCTTCGGAGTGGGGGTATAATTAAAATAATTATTTTTAATAAATATATCTATCCCAGATATCTTCCAAAAGAGATTTCAGTCTCTCTTCAGTCTATAATGATACTTTTGGTATACCCATCCTGATGTCTTTTCATTGTATTTAAATTTCAGTTTGTGTGGTAACATTGCATACAGTTTCAAAGTACAGTGTCATGAGCTCATATACAGTAACATGTGATATAAATGCTAATTATCAAAATCCTGCCTCTCAAAATCAAAAAAAAAAAAATAATAATAATAATAATTCAATCAACCGCCAGAGTGATTTTATAAAGTCAAAGGTCAAGGTCAACTGAATTGTAATGTAACGAACTCACTTGCATTGAACTCTCCTTGTTTGAAAAATCTGTTTGTTTGAAATGTATTTGGTTTCTCCTAAAATGCTGGTACAGTTTCTTTGCAATAAATACTCGTTTAGATTGAAATTGGTTAACGTGAAAAACTCTGTTAATTTGAAGTGATATTGGGGTCCGCTGAACACAAAGCTTATAGCAGTTTTGATAACGGGTACATTGAAGTTGCCAATTGCGACACGTGGACTCAGGTGACTGACTATATAGGAAATCTAGCACGTGTTAATTTTTCAAAGGTGATTTGATGTTGGTGGACCTGTACAATTTAATTATGTGTTGTATAGATAAAACAATAATCATTGAGCATTTCTCACAGGAATATATTAGTCGCCATTTTTATTTTCTAACTACGGCATTAAGACTGACATGGATAAAATATGCAGGGGTGTCATGTGTAAATTGGTGTGTGGAGAATAGGCCTGTGTATTGACCAAAATATTTTGATAAGATATTTTATAAAGCAATACTTTTTTCGTGTATAAATAGTCTTGATAGTTTTCTAACACAAATCAAAAAAAAAAAAATAAATAAAATAAAACAGTAAAAAAAATTTAGGACTTTTTTGAAAAATAGAGATAAGTACATTTCTGAAACAGTGCATGTAATGTTATGCAAAAAATATGAATTCTCACATGTATATATTTTTTTACTGTACAGTCAAGCCTCGTTACCTCGAACTTGAAGGGACCGAGAAAAAACTTCGAGATATCTGAGGATTCGAGATATCGAGGGTAAAATATTTAAAGAATAAGTGGTTGGGACAGCAAATCACTTTGACATATCCATGGTATTCAAGATATCAGTGTTCCAGATAATGAAGTTCAACTGTATCTACATTTTTTATGTAATTCATAGCACACAGGTATAATGAAATTCGGTTAATTTGAAATAGATCTCAAGGTCCCTTAAATTTCAATGTAAACGAGTTTGACTGTATATGGTATTTTACAAAAGCCAAAGTGCCTAGCAATGCAAGTGCAAAGTATCAAATCCATTCCTCTTACAGTTCTCAGGATCTAGGGTATGACAGACAGACAGACACCATGTAAAGTGATCTCTAAGTGTCGCTTTTACCAAAATTTTTTTTCATAATTTTGTTTTCTTACCTCTCTGAAGAGCATGACAAAGGTTACATAGGTGATAGGTAGAAATATATGCATGGGATGTATTGGTGTAATCTTTTTAGTGAGCAGATTGCATCATGCATTGTTTATCTGCCGTTGCTGATCTTTAACAAGGGAGACTTCTCCTGAAATAAGAAAAATTCAAAAGTGAAATTGCCTGTTACTCTTAAAGGGACATAGACACAGATTCGACATTTTGAAATATTTTCTCAAATTGTCTGTATTATATCATGACATATATGTGGCTATAGCATTTCACATGGAAATATAATAAAAAACTTATTTTATCTGTAAATTATTGAAACTATGAATTTCGGGATGCGTTTGATTGACACATCCTTGCACTTTCACAAGTAAACTTCATCCTTAACACTTAAGAAAAGTAGGTTTTTTGATACATATTAATGAAAAAATATTAAAAAAAATATAATCCAGAAAAATTAAGAGTAGAAATGAAAGAAAGCAAAACCAACTAACCAGTATTGTCAGTCTGTGCTCAGTGATGTGTGAAGAGTTTAACAAATTGAACACAAAACAGTTTACGTTCCATTGGGTGTGTTCAATTTGTTAAACTCTGCACACATCACTGAGCACGGACTGACAATACTGATGAGTTGGTTTTGCTTTCTCACATTTCAACTGTGAATTTTCTGGATTTTATCTTTAGTTTTTTTCATTAAAACACAACAAATTTCTACTTTTTCTAAGTATTAAGGATGAAGTTTACTATGTGAAAGTGCAAGGATGTGTCAATCAAATGCGTCCCTAAATTCGTAGTTTCAATAATTTCCAGGTAAAATAAGTTTTTTTATGATATTTCCCTGTGAAATACTATAGCCACACATATGTCATGACCTAGTCGAAAATTTTAGAAAATATTAACTTCAAATCTGAGTCTATGCCCCTTTAAAGGTCACACACAAGGAAATAATTTCACTATATTTTACAATAAAGCCTTGATTAAATTAATCAATTAATATGACCCTCACTAGATAAAAGATGAAGAAAAAATGAATGATGCTTGGACAAAAATTTGAGATCAGAAATAAAATATATTCCTTATGCAGCTTTTAATAGAGAAAATTGATATTACATGTATTGATAGGTAAGATACCTTCGATCATGTGGATTTCACTTGCTGATAAACAGTTTACACACCATCCAGGAAGTTGCATCATGAACACCTAAAAAAAGAGTATTCCTTAAATTCATTGATTGCCCACAAGTATAATATTCCTAATATTTGAGTCAAAAATAAACACTGTAGGCCTAAAATGAGAAACCGAAAAAGAAAACCTGAAAAGAAATTGTCTCTTTCTACAAAGAAGAACAACTGACTAAGTTCATTTTGATTTGCTATTCCTGGCTCTAAGCTAAGCATGGCATAACAAGGGTCTACTGGAAAGAAAGGGTAAATTATTCATATGGTAAAAAATTAACAAATCAAACTTTGTAAATAAATACCCAAGCATTTGGTTTTGTCTTTGATTTTGACAAAATGTTATTGATCTCCAAAAATTTTTGTTTATGTGTGCTGAGCCACAGTAAAATTTTAAATGTTGTAGAACTGTATATCCATATTTAGATTCAGTAAGAAATTTCTAGTCATTTGACAAGTTAATTTCACAGTTTCACCAAAGTTTGATTAACAATGTTATGGTTAATAAAATATTATCCAATTTATGCTTATAATTATATTATTAAAGTGCAATTTGTCAAAGTAAAAAATGCCTGTAAAAAGAACAAGAGGCCATGGGCAACAATGCTCATCCGAGTCACTATGGCCTTGCTGTTCTACTTTTTTTTTTTACTACACATGATGATGTATATTTATTCATATGTAAAAATTTGATTGTCCATTGTGGCCCCACCCTACCCTGGGGGGGTCATGATTTAAACAAACCTGAATGTACACTAAGTAATGAAGCTTTCAGAGAATTTTCATTTCCTGGCCCACAGTAATGAAGCTTTCACAGAAATTTCATTTTCTGGTCCACTGATTCTTGAGAAGAAATTTTTTTAAAGATGCCATTAAATTTACAACAATTCTTAATTATTTTCCCTTGAAAGAGGGTGTAGCCCTTCATATGAACAAACTTGAATTTCCTTTACCCAAGGATGCTCTGTGGCAAGTTTGGTTTAAATTGGCAAAGTGGTTCTGGAGTAAAAGATGAAAATGTGAAAAGTTTATGTCGCCGCCTCCAACAACAACAGTGACAGACAACAGACAAATTTTGATCAGAAAACCTCTCTTAAGCCTTTGGCTCAGGTGCGCTAAAATAAAAGATGGAGAAATAAAATTTTTTGTTAATGACAGTTTTACTTATGTATTTTAAAACTCTTTCTCAAATACTAATATGTCTAAGTGCTCGAGTTCAGTGAGTTTATAAACTTTACCCTCTATTCTTGAAACCTCTGTTATCTGTTTCTCAAAGGGTTTTTTTTTCAGTCCCATCTATTGCCATAATAGGCTTATCTCCAGGGGGTCCTCATGACTGGCAATTACATAAGCAATAATGTTTTTGGATATAAATATATTAAAATAAATAAAACTGAATAATTAAATGACAAGATATGCATTCGACATTGGGTGACACAATTTGGGAAAATATTCTGGCATGTTACCCTCAAAGTAAGTGAGTGTGAAATTTACTTGTCTGAACATAACTTTTACTTGTATGAAAATATTTCATAAAAGACCTATTTAACAATTTGAAAAAATATTGTACGTTACAATAGTCTATAATACATTCATTGAGTCTGTTTTTGAGATTTTGAGTGGACACATCTATTGCAAATTACTAAACTGTATCATCCTATCCTAAAGTAGATGTAAATCATGTTATATAATTACATGTATGAAAGAAAAATAGTAACAACAAGAAATAGCTGACTATATGACTTCAAATTTTTCTTTGCCTTCTTTTGCTTATCCTTTGTAGCCTAAATTGTCTTTTGCTAAAGCTCTCCTGCCAGATAATAAAAAACCAAATTTCCTTCAGTAAAAGTACACGTTTCAAAGTTACTGTAGTTCTAAGTAGTCAACTTCCTGGTACTTTAAATATTAAAATTAAAATTGTGACAAACGCCTGAAAAACATCAGATATTTCAGACAAGTTTCATAGTAACATTGTTCCTGATCAAGTTTGACAACCAGGGCCATCATTATTACGAGTAGGATCAACATTTAACTATTTACAAACCGCATGCATGGCATGTTTTCATTTTGAACCTCCGATAAAAAGTTGACAACAAATTTTAATTCTTTAAGTTTTCATGCTCAGCTATAAAATATTCTTCCTAGAAAAATATCCCTTGTCAAATCGGACAAGTGGTCAGCAATTATCACTTGTTCATGAAAAATTTTACTGGTACATGTACTGGACAAGTGGATGAGCGTACAATGTCGAGCCCTAGAACTATGCCTCATTTTTTGTTTACATTTGCTTAGCAACCAACAGCATTAAATCTCGAACCTGAGCTATTATAATATGTAGCATAAAAGCACACAAGGATGATCAAGAGGGTGTTACAACTGTTTCTGTTTTGTTGTATTTGTTTCTGGCATTTGTTATTAACTGTTTCTGATGTGATGTGAATTCTTCATGGTATATATAGTGAAACTATATTTGTGATAAAAACATGATAAAAAAAAAATTATTAAAAAATGTATTTCAAAAATGTAAATGATACTAGTCATGTAGTAGTATAAAAACTCATTTTTAAGCATTTCAGAGTAGATTATAAACATCGAACCTAATGGGTCCTAGAAAAAACTTTGTGATATCCTACAATTCAAGATACTGAAGTTAAAATATGTACTTGTAGCATAGCATAAATTTTCCATCTTTAACGCTCAGTTATACCTCGATAAATATTGCTAATGAGAGGAGCGCAATTAATATTTCTATCTTCATGATAACACAAATCTAAATAAGTCAGTTAATTTTATAGCTAATTTAGCCTTCATTAAGTTCAACAAATTTCTTTAAATCTGTTCAGAATCAGACAAGTAAAAAATATTTATGCATTCGGACACAAGGTTTAACATTTATAAGGCATGTCTGATCAACACTGACTAGTAAAAGTTTGGTCCTGTCTAAAAATTGAGTGTACATCTCACATGTAAATATAACAAGTGTGCAGCATGTGTGTTTTATTCATCTGTTCTCATGTACACACAGGATTCGAAATACCCCAAACTGTAGGGGTCTACAAATACAGTCATGACTTTAATGATTTTGGGTTAAAATCAAAAACAAGTAATTGTAATTGGAAGTATTCTATCAATACTAATATATCAAGTTTCATCTACCAATATAATGCTACGACATTGACGAGAAAAAACCAGCGTTTTCTACATGGGCATTTCTTCAATCAATTTGTTTTTGTACCAGTATAAATTTATAAGAATCTTCTTGGGTTTTAATGTGATGGAGGAGGGTGCATTTAGTATTTAGTCACCAGGATGTTGTAACATGGTCTTAAAACCCTTTAATAGCTTTGGGGCATGAACTACTTTTAAATTAGTTAAATAATCTAACTGCGTCTCCAGACGAGCCCTCACCACACCTCTCTTAAACCGGGTCTGAACCACATTTATTATTTTAATGATTAGAAAATTCTATCTACAACTACTTCCTCTTCCAGATGACTCCAGTCTATTGCAGTGCAAACAAAAAATGAGTTTTTATATTTTTTGGTTTTGGTGTTTGGTATCTCCACTGCTTTACTGTTGTTACAAGGATTATAGCAAGTTAAACTATGAATTAAATTGTTTATTTTATACATACATGTGTACCATGCATGTTCATGACTTGTTGGTTGTCAAATGTGTGGATATGTCATGCGAGGAACAGACGTAACTGCGCAAGGTAAAATACCATGAGTCGTGAAGCGCGGGTCTGTGACATTCGGAATACAGATGTATTTCTGCTATTTGAGTAACCATACACCACTCTGTGTGCGGTTAGGCATGGATAAGTATGATTACTTCACATTGTGCTGAATAATTACCAATCAATTATCAAGTTTACCTGAACTGATCTTCTTTGTTAATCCATTCAAGAAGTAACTGTTTGGTCACAAATTAACTGAGCGTTGTATATAGCCCTAAAACTTTTATAACTTTGAGAGCAATTGCGCAGAGAAAGACACATTTTCAAGAGAAATTTTTTCATGAACATGATGAATTGTTTTCAGATGAGCTAAAAGTTGAAAATTATCACTGCACGAAAGTGCGATTTTCTGCACATCTTGAGAAAAAAGCTAATTAAAGAAATAAGTTTGATTTAGTAGTTAAATAAAGCTACTTCAGGTAGGTAAATAAAGCTATGTAGGTAATTCAAGCTACGTAGCTAAAACTAGTGATTGTACCAGCTTCAGTGTATCGTCCAAGTGAAAGTGTAGAATTGTAGATATCTTTTTACTAAAACTTTGAATTTGATAGATTTGAACTTAGGCGACTAACCGTATGTTTCTTACACATTCTTCTAATACTTCCACAACAAAACACTCGCCGCAACCATTCTTATTAGTCATCCTAAGCTTCCTCAGTCCTCGGTCGGAGCCTGTACTGCCATTTTGGTTGGCTAAATAACCCGACCCACTATTGTTTCGTAAATTGCCAACCCGTTTTTTTTTTTAAATACAGAACATTTAATTCTAATAAATCAGATCTTATTTCCTCTGGTAGTCCATCACATTTTTTCAGACCAGCTGTACCGCATTTGAAGACAGAATAAAAAGATAAATATTTATTTATAATTGCCATGTCGAACTTCGTATTAGTCGATGCTGAAGAAAGATGGTGATGAGGACGGAAATGCACAATTCATTTATTTTATTGATTAATCCTATTGCAAGTAATTTATGATAGTATCGTCATGATTTTTTCAAAAATATGTAATACAGAATTAAAAAGTTTTGAAATTATTGGTAAATAAACATGATAAATGGCAATATTGATAATGTATTTTTTATCACCCTGTACACATACTGAGTGTAGGGCACTGTATTACAGTATATCTGGTAGAGTTTGAAATGACATTTGTTTAATCATTAAATATACTCTTAAAGTGAAGAAATTGCATGTGTCTAATTAAATAAACGAGAAAACTACATGCATGGGTCCCAACTTGCATTTCATTCTATGTTAGGGGTCTCTTAGCAATACCGAGAGACCTATATAGTTATATACTAACAAAATATCACATAATTTATTCAATATATACGCACCATCTTGTAAAATATAGTATCGTGTCATAGGAGTTGTTCTATTGCACACCTTAAACATACACATAGCCCAATCGCCCTGTTGTATGTGTTAAATGTTTATGCATATTTATGTGTTATGTGATTTACATTTGTTGTGCAGTACTTATACATTGTTTAAAAGAATTTTTAATTATTTTAAAGATAAAGTCTTGGGTCCCTGTATTTAGTTTGGGGCAGACAATAGTCACTAATTTAATTTAGGGTACATGTACATCAGAAATTCAATTTGTGTCTATGATTTAGTTGCTTTCAAATTGGCTTTTAGATCAGTCTCTACTCCAGTGGAGAGGATGATTCCTCTTGATTCTGGAGTCAAAAGGTCAAAGTTATGATTGCGGGGTATGGATATGGAATGAAAAAGAGAAGATAATGAACAGTGATCTATTTCAAAAAAAATTAAAAACAATACAAATCTTTGAACACTGCATAAACACAGACCCCCTGAAATTCCAGAGGTGGGATCACGTGCCAAGGAGGATTAAGCATCCCGTGTTGACCGGCCACACCCACTGTGAGCCTTATATATTGATCAAGTAGATGGAACATTCGATAGTCAAATCTAGCATATAAACAAAGGCCTAACAATTGGTATGAAGCAAGTCAGCCAAAATACGACCCAGTGATAGGTTATATTTGCTAACAGGTAAATCTTTGTACACCTTGATTAAACCTGGATAACAAATCTTTATTTCCTATATAACCTAATAATTTCTCTGTAAACCCAATTCCACTGATATTTTAAACTATTGATTTACTACATGCTTCAATACATCGTGACATCATGTTGTATGGTGTTTATTTGATATAGAAACTTAATATTCTTTGTGATGTCACATTATTTAACCCCACCCCAGATTTAGCTGGGTGTAAGGAAAGAACTTTATGCATTATATGCACATTTTTGCCCCCAAAAAAGTCATATTTTGAAAATTTCTTGAAATGTGTTGAATTGTATATATTGTGTGAGAAATCTAGATTAACAAAAAATATTATAGTTTCGAAGTAGATTTTTGGCAACTTTTGTTTCTATGACGTCACAAACTGTTCGGATTTTGTGTTATTTTTTAGAAAAAGGAAAAAAATGGACAAAATTTGTTCAATTTTTACTATAAAATTTATAGTGCGCAGGCCTGCTCAAGAACAATATTGACATATTTCATTGATATTATCATTCTACACATTATATCAAAATATTGAGTTGGAGCAGACTTGCGCTCGGTGACTTTTGCTCAAATTATCGACATAATATACACTTTTTCTGTATAAATCATTGAAATTTTGAATTTACGCCATCTTTCTGATGTCATATCTAACATATGGCGTCATGGCTTATGAAAATATTCAGTGCTTTGCAGTCTGCAGATATTCCCCTGTTTTAGAACATAATTATATATTTCTCCGTCAAAGTTTGATTTTGGGGGCAAATATTGGCCATTACCGAATATAGTCCTTTACACCCCGCTTGCTAACCAATCAGATCTCGTGTTTTAAGATACATAGGAAATAATTAAGGACTTTTATTGAAGGATATATAAAGATTTTTCAATCCAAAGAAACATGAATTATATCAATTGAGGCAATGAAATTATAATTATTTTACCAAACTTTTTCATTATCTCATAAATATCTCTAAAGCTTTTGAATATGGTCCATGTATACTGCCCTACTCATCTGCAAAAATGGGTACAAAACTGGTTGTTACAAAGAAACTTGGAAGAACTTGCACATGGACTACTTGGGAGCTACTTCACAGTTAGATTACTTTTTCTGTTTAACATGACAAAATGCTGTAATGGTTACAACCAAAAGATTTACTTGAAATGCTTCACTTATATAGTAGCATTTATTATCTTGATACATCAGCTTTGTATATTTATTAGTATGATTGCAAATAGATGAACAGGCAGACACATATGCTAAAGTGTTCCTTCACTTTGATTTTTTAATTATTTTAATAGATACTACATATTTTTGAAACATATTTTCTGATCTGTTCCTAGAACGAATCATAAAATTTATAAATGAATGAACTTCTTTTCTACAATTTCAGTACTGTCCAGTAAATGAAGCCAGGTTTCTCAAACATTCCATTTTGACATTTCTGATCAATTTAAATATATTTAAATTATGTATATAATATCTTGTAGTTGAATACATAAAAAGAGTTGGTAAAATGTATATAATTTTGAACTTTTAGCTAATTGTTAATTTATTTTATTTAAATTATATGTAATAATTGATTAACGAGTGGTTGGTTGTTTAGAACTATAAAAGTTTGCATCAAAATGTGAAAACTTGTTGGTGATTCATATGAAATTCATCAAATGCTAAATAAGAAACATGCACAGTCAAACCTCACTATCTTAAAATAGATGGAACTGAAAAAACTTAGAAATATAGGAGTATTCAAGATATCGAGTGTTAATTTCTTAAAAAATAAGTGGTTCGGATTTCCAGTTAACTTTGACATATCCATGGTATTCAAGTTATCAGTGCTTGAGATACCAAAGTTCAACTGTATTTAAATTTTCAGTGACTGAACACTTTTGGAATGCATCTGATACACCTGCACAAACAAAAGTTTCTAGAAAATAAACACTTATTTAAAATTGCAGTGCTTTCTCCTGAGAAATATTAGGATTCAAGGAGACTCATTTATAACTTTGAATGACTAAAAAGGGTCAATAGTTCAATGCTGTAGTTCCTTATTCTAGCTTGACATTTGATTTTTTTTGTTGTTGTTGTTGTTTAACATCCCTCTCAAGAATTTTTCACTCATATGGAAATGCTACCACTTGCCGGTGGAGAGTTGCAAATTTTGACTTGTACTCGGCACTCAGGGCCATTGAGCAGTGAGAGATCTTTTTCGTGCCAGCACCTACTGCGACACTGGACTTCGATATATATGGTCTCATCCGAAGGACCGGTCTCCATGTCCTACAGTGGGATTCGAACCCACGACGTAAGGATCAACTCCTTACTCCGCAACTCTAGAGCAAATGCTCTAACCACTGCGCCACACAGGTGACGCTTGACATTTGAAATTCAAAGTAAAAACATTAATGTTTTATACACAATTTATAATACTCTAATGCTTCATATGTGGGCAAAATGTAACATGAAAAAGTATAATATTTTATCATCTATGGGACTATAGTCATATGTTGTTACCTACCATAAAGCCCTTTGGATTCCATGGGATTTGATCACATGACCAACCTGTATCTATAACCCCATGGTAATTTTAAAGGGGATAGAATAAATGTGTCAGAAATACTTAAGCTTGTCCCTTAATAACCAGTCCTTTAGCTGTAATATCTAAGTTTTCTTAGCTTTAAATCAAAAGAAATTTAACTTAAAAATCCAGCTGTTTTACAAAAATTATACAGTCATGTATCTTTATAACCAAGGTGATTTGTAAAGGCAAAAAAAAATCAAAAATGTGCAGATAGTGAAAACAATTACAGGGTATGCGATATATGGTATAGGTCTAATTGGCGACTAATTAAGTCACCATAGCACCTAAAAATTATGATTGATGCCTAAAAATTTTCTAGAATTCGCCAAATTGGCGACCATTTTAAATTGGCTTGGTGATCATCAAATTACTGGGCTATAAACATTTTCAATTTTTTTTTATAAAGAGCCTAAAAGAAGCAATGGACATGTCTCTAATATTGACTAATGTCAGTTTTTAGATTGGTGCCTAAGAAAAATTTACCTGGCGGCTGAAAATTTGCATTTGTGACTAAATTTTTTTTTTCATAAGGAGCCAGTTGGTGCCTAAATTTTAGAGGTCACATAGAGGCCTGTGGTAGAGTCAACATATTTAGTGCATGTTTATCAATTTACCAGTCGCCACGTGGCATAGAGTATAGAGCTTTTGCTCCAGAGTTGCAAAGTAAGGAGTTGATCCTTACTTCATGGGTTTTAATCCCATTGTGGGACCTGAAAACCGGTCCTTTGGATGAAACCGTATAAAGCAGGTTCTTTGTTGCAGTAGGTGTTTGCACAAAATATCCCTTACTGCTAATATAAATGGCCATAAGTGCTGAGTTCAGGTCTAATTTTGCAGCCCTCCACAGGGAAGTGCTGGCTTCTTAACATGAGTAAAAAATTCTCGAAGGGACGTTAAATAAACAGTAAAAAATCATTTTACCAAGGAGAGAAATCAATTGTTAATAAATAGAACATCATGTTTGACATAAACAGAATAAAATATGAAATCTAATTCAATTTGAGCAAATATTTTTCAAATCTAAGAATTGTTGAAACTTCCTGAGGTATTGATTATTTTTAACTCTTTGAATGAATGGGATGTTTGAAATTCTT